TACCATGTATAGAACCTTCCAAGGCCTCGTGGCTAAGAAATTCTGTAAGCTTCCAAGTTGACAAATGTTGGTCACTGTCTGATATTTTAAAAAAGAATTTAAGAAAGATGTTCATAATTATAGTAACTGGAGTACTTTTTCTTTCCCCTTAATGCTGGAGAATGAAGTCAGGGTCTCATACATGTTAGGCAAGTGCCCTACAACTAAGCTACATCCTCAGCCCTTGACTTTTGGAGGCTGGCCTTGAACTCACATCTGCCTCTGCCTCCCAAGTGCTGGGATTACAGGCACTCATCACCTTTTGTTTCAGCAGAAGCTGGTTTAGATAGGGCATAATGATACGGTCTTTTGGAGTGATATGTGTACCATGCCACACAACCCCAATAATTTAACATGAACAACAAGTTTCAAAGTGCCACCAAAGAAACTAATGTGTTTGTGCCAGTCTGAATGTAAATCTCCAGAACACTGCATTTATATCAGTTTTCCAGTTGGTTAAATATTTTAAGTTGGCTAGGTATTATTTACCTTGTTAGTTATAACAAGGTAACTTGTTCATAAGTGAAATAGTATCAGTTCCAGGAGAACTGTAATCTTAATAATGTTTAACTGCTCAGGCTCAGTGATCACATAAAATTAGGTTTATGTTCCCTGGTTGTGGTACCTACTAGCTGGTTTTCTTCAAATTCCTCATCTCTACAGTGGGCAAAATTCTAATATATCTCTTAGGGTTGTGATGGTTGAATGAGTCCATGTGGACCATGTCCAACAAAGAGTAAGTACTTAAATATTAGCAGTTATTATTTATTGGTAGTAAACTCTAACTGTAAGGATAATTTTTTTTCTAAATGTTTGCCAAGAAGCTTAAATTAGCCTCTGGCAATAGCACTTGCACACTATTCCAAGCATGACTTGTGTTTTTTCCCTGAAGGAACAGTGAAGAAAATAGCCTTGATAATGATGCAGAAATTTGTAGAGCTATCCAGAGAAAGGAAAAGGCTTGTTTCTTTTTGCCCCAGATGGAATTAGAAACAAGTGCCACTTCCCTGGAAGTAGGTTTAGATTTTGTATATACAATATTTTTCATAGTTCCTCAGCACAGAATTGGCTAGCTTACATGTGCTCAATAATTATTCATACAAAGCAGCCCTGATAAAACATCAGCCAGGGGGAATTAGAACACTCTTCATTAGTCAAAGCTGCTTTATAAATCTAGGTTTTATCACTTTTGTAAAAAATTTCACAGCAGCTTAATTTGTTCAAGTTCTTGTTATTAGTAAATTGGGTATATCTTTTGCCAATTGAAAAATTATTTTTCATAGCTGTGTGCATCCTTAATATTGGTTTTATTTCACCCTATAGAGATTATCTTTATCTAATTCCTTAAAAAATGAAATAGAGTGCTTATGAAAATTTTAATAAATTTTAAAATTTTAATGTTGATTTCATTCCAATTTTGGTTCCCTTCAAATAGAAGTCTATAGTACAAAATAAGTTACTATATCTAAATACGAAAACCAGCAAGTAAACTCTTTGGTACTACTAGCACTGATCCTAAGAAAACTTTTTCATTATTTTTGAACATGGTTGCCAAATTGTCAGACACTGCAGTACTATCTGTCCTATTTTTAACGACCTGAGTAGATAAGTTACAGCTTCCTTTTCCCTTCCTGTGACATCTACTGCACCCCACTTAAAGAGAATGAATGAAATGCACATTGAAACTGTCTTCGTGTTGTTAATTACTTTCTAAGATGTTTCATAACAGGAAAGTGTTTGGCGTGCACTCAATAGCTTGGAATATTAATGTCTTCAAGGACGTGAGGTGCTCTGTGTTTACTTAAAATGGTTGAGGCAGAGAAAAAAAAAAGAGTGAGGGTTTAAAAAAATTTTTTTTAATAAAATAAGTCTTCCAAAAAGTAATATGGTATAAAGATGGACTGTGGCTAATTCTTGGTAAGGTTTAGGGCATGAAATCAGGACAGCCTTTCAAGGGGCAGTATTGGTTGTTAGTTTTGCTTCGCTGATGACATAGGAAAATTCTGAAGCCATTTTTAATAATCCTTTGCTTCTGTCTGAGGCTGTGTGTACCAGGGCTATCTGCCTGTAATAGGCAAGATCTTCAGATCAGTAACAACACTGCTTAGAAGGAAGAAAGGAGAAGGGGTCCAGAGGATTTCCATATACTTGACAGTTAAATTAGTAGGATTCAAATTTTATGAACTATGCTATGGAAATCAGTTTGTGTTCCATTGTTTTATGCCTCATAGAAATTAAAAGACATGGCCACTGTGAACCCAAATCTTATTCTTGAACTTGTAAGATAGTTACATTTCAACATTATGATCAATTTATTAAAGAAGTGAAAATAATATAATTTATTATTATTATTATTTTTGCAATTCTGGAGTCGGAACTCAGGGCCTGCAGCTTGAGCCACTCCACCAGCCCAAGTTTTTGTGATAGGGTTTTTCAAGATAGGATCTTGCAGAACTATTTGCCTGGGTTGGCTTCGAACCATGATCCTCCTGATCTCTGCCTCCTGAGTAGCTAGGATTGCAGGCAGGAGCCTGCAATTATAATTAATATTTTTGTTTGGTTTTGGTGCAGAGCTAGAACCCAAGCCCTTGCATGTAAGAGACTGTAATTAGGCAAAGACATAATTATTGTTTTTATTACAAATGGATGAAATTTCTCTTCATCATGAATTGATTCACGAGAGTTGGAAGTTCCCTAAGCAGTGTCCCTTGCATGACACCAAGAGATTGGAATAGGGAGATTAGGAGAGAAATAAAGAAGATAGAAGGAGGTACTGGGAAGTAAAGTGAAGAAAGGATGGGGATGGAGAGGAAAATGGGGAAGAAAAACCTTTCCAAATGATGGAGGGGGTTTTTCATCAATAATTGTAAAAGATAGTGACTCCCATATTTTTGCATTTTGGAGCAGCTACATTTAAAAAAAATAGTGAACATGGGGACCATTTGACCATTTTTCCACATAAGGACTTTAAATAGACAATAATGCATATACTTTCATCTACCTACCACTTGACTCTGTTCCTGTATTTTTTTCATTTTGCCTGAGTTTGTGACCATTTCATTATAGAGTAGCCTTGGTTAGCTGCATGGGGGCCACTTGTCTAATAACTCCAATTTTAATATTAAAATTCAATAGAGTTTTATTTACCTATTTTTTTGGCAGTACTGGGGATTAAACTCAGGGCCTCCATACTTGCTAGTGAAGTGCTCTATCATATGAACCATGCCCCAGTCAAAAATTTATAGTTTTAAGGGACATCTTATATTCATTTAATTCTTCCTCCATTCAGCATTCACTGACGGTCAAGTATTTGGAAAAACAAAAAACAAAAAAAAAAAAAAAAGGAAAGGAATGGCAGTGTGGCCTGTGGGAATGTTGACCAGCAGATGACATAGAAAGCCCTGTGGATAAGGTAGTAGGAATGTGCAGTGGTTATCTCCAAGATTTAGTTAGAACTGGCTCTGTCAGCAATGGGGAGCCAGTGAAGTTTCTTCAGCAAGGAGAGACATCATTTGGTGGTATAGGAGTGTAGTAACAATGTGTAGGACACTTTAGACGAGGTGACAAGAAGATAAACTAAAAGGGCTGTAGTCAACACATAATTACAGGGCCCAGTGGTGGCTGAGGCAATGGGGGAAGAAAATAGCTGGCAGGGAGAGGAAAGACTGAGCAACTGATTGTGAAGGAACAGGACGGAGATAGAATAAGCTCTTGTTTTATTTTAGGGAAGACTTGTGTAAATGAGGGGCTGTTGTAGATATGACAGACATTTTTCTAAAAAATAGATAGTTTGAGTAAATATGAATAAATAGCTTATTTATTATACTATTTTTTTTTCTGTGTTGGGGATTCAACCCAGGGCCTTGCACATGTTAGCCAAGTGTTTTACCACTAAGCTAAACTTCTAACCCTCTTTTTTAAATCATGGAAAAAGTATCACTAGTTTATGGTATGACGAAATTGAAAGTTTGTTTTGAGGAATTGTAGATGGGCAGACTGATAGATCACAAAGAGCTTAATTCAGATTACTGGGTATGCTATCAGTTAAAATGAAGAGTGTAGAGTGGTTTTTAGGAGAGAAAGAACACTGAAACATCCCTTGTATTTTCATAATTTTTAAGGTTTTTCTTTATCAATAAAACAGCAGAATTTTGGTGAAAAAGAATGGAATCAAGCTACAATTCTGTTTAGGTCCCCTTAGTAACGGAGTTATTTTGGTCCAGGTACTTCACCTGTCCCTTAGCTTTACTTTACTGACACTATTAATTATACCTGTCTCTGGTGTATGTGAGAGACAGAGAGAGAGAGACACACACAGAGAGAGAGAGAGAGAGAGAGAGAGAGAACGACGGGTGCAGCCTGATGCACACACATCACAAGCTGTGTGCATTTCTTTTGGGGACTGAAGAGAATTGTGGTGAATCCAGAGGTATACTTGGCACTGGTCCTTTGGTGAAATAAGCTGACATTCCAGAGCATACAATAATTTTTATGAGGGCATTTGTAAGTGGAAGCAAGAAGTAAAGCCCTGCCGTCTGGCTGGGTGGCACTGTGTTGGCACAGGTTCCTTGGGTTTTGCGGTGGCTGATGTTGAGGCCGGGCGTGAAAGGATTAAGAAATGCCCTTGCTCATGTTACATGAAGCAGCAGCAGTGACCTGATGGAAAGGGATTGGGAAGGGAAAAGAGTCAGCCCAAGTCATTATTTGCTAGCCAGCAAGGCTCTTCGTACTTAGTGCGTGAGTCGAGTGCATATCCTGGCAGGTTAGAACGATCACAAACACAGACGCGCGCGCTCACGCGTGCACAGACACGCGCGCTCACGTACACACATCACGGCCGGCTGTGCGCGGTGCTCTGAGTCACAGCTGTGACCGGAGAGCCAGGAAGCCTTGGCGGGAGAGACCCCGCCCCTGCCCATGAGAATCGCGGGCCCGCGGCGGGGAGGAGCCGGCCCATGCTAATGAGCAAGTTGCCAGGCGAGACAGGAACTTCATTCCCCTCTGTGTCAGGATCCATCGCAGAAATTATGCCCCTTCTCTCACCATGAGCTGGCTCTCCAATTCCCAGGGAGTTGTGCTAACTGCCTACCACCCCAGTGGCAAGGACCAGGCCGTGGGGAACAGCCATGCCAAGGGAGGTGAAGAAGCCACCTCAAGGTAAGCCTTGGCCTTTGAAAGCCAGAAAACAAAGCCAAACCTCTTTATCTGCTGCAGGGAAAAAGTGACAGGGAAGTTGTGCGGGGTTAGGGAACCACCTCTGCACCTGGAGCCTAACTCCTGAGCAGCACAGACGTTTGGCGTGGCTTTATGTCCTTTTCATCCCATCTGCTCCAAGCTGAAAGAACCTGTATGATGACCTCGGAGGAAGGACTAGGAGGAACTGGGAATGTGGCTGTATGGCTAGTAGCTCACTGGCTCAGCAGGTGCACTTGCAGTTGCTGAAAGATCAAATGACTGTGTTTGAAACACTTTCTATGAGATGGAATTCTTGAATGGGCTCAAGGCACCTACACTGGAACTGCCAGCTGGGAGAGTCTGCCAAAAGCCGGAGGCTGTTCACTGTACAAGCTGTTGTTGTTAGAGTGGTTTTTTTTTTTTTTTTCTTCCCTTCTCACTGAAAGCAAACCTCTTAGGCAAAACGCCCAAGAGATGGCCTGTGGCAGTATGCGTCACATTCTTTTGTGTATATGTGTATATGGATTTTTTTGATTCCCCTTGGGCTTTTGAGAAGGAGTTTTTGTCAGGACATAGTACTCTGTTGCTAGAGTGAAATGTGGTTAATGTTAAATCACTTTATAGGTAGACAAGACAAATGTTCCATAGACCACTAAGGTGCAAAGAGGACCTTTCTCCCTATCTGTGTACTTTGTTCTGTTTTCTAACAGATTTTTTTTCCCTTTCTTCCCTTAATGACCTTCTCACTAGTTGAACTTTTTTTTTTTTTTTTTGCCTCCAGTCTTAGATATAAATTGCAAATATTGGCCTGGAAGTCAAATGTGAACCCACTTGCCTCCAGGCTAAATTAAGTTATCAGTAAGTTCATTTCCTCCTTGATGCTTAATGTGATAATAAACCCTTCTTTGTTCTTGTGTGACTTATGCATATGCCTGAAGCTGAATAATGCCTTCTTTCATTTATTTTTCAAATCCCCACATATGGGGAACGTGGGAAAAAAAATCAAAGGAATGGTGATAATACTCTGGGTTGGACCTAGGAGAGCAGAACTTTTTCCTCACATGTCAGCCACAGATGTATTCCACTGCATGAATTAATTTCCAAAGATCAAAGGAAACTGTTGTTTGTGCTTTACACACGTTACCATTTTGTTTTCTGTTGTTGTAAGTATTTTCTGCAAAAATCGTAAATTGTTTTCATCTATTTTCTTCCTTAATCTTTCAGCAGTAAGCAGCCTCCAACTCTCACACCATACCAGTCATAATTTGGCTTCCACTTTGGCAGTCGAAATTATACAAGCTCAGCACCTTCATCGGTGATTTTAGGCTGGGTGGCCTGAGGATCAGAGCGAAACCTTGGATTTTGGTTGTGAGGGTGGACAGAACCATAAGGGACTTTGAGTTCCCGTTTCTCATTTTCACAGTAAGGACTCAAACTCCAGGGATTCCTTAGATTTTAGCATGGTCCGAAGTTGTAGGATCTTCCCTGGTCTGTATTGTAGACTTTTTCTTGGGTCTCCACTTTGGTGTTTCTTGTGGGTAGTTTATACTTGAGCGAGTTGAACAAACAAAAGAGGGGAATAGATTGTTTTCAGCTATTGCTGAAGCAGAACCAAGAGGCACTAAGAGGCAGAGTGGGTAGCTGTGGATGTTTACTTGGGACCACAATTCTAGGTCTGCTCCAAAAGACCTCGCCTGCTGGCTGCTATATTGCTTACCCATAGTGGACTAGGACATAGATATCTAAGGGCTACTTATTTATGTTGGTTAGAGAAGACAGGAGCTTGAGGGCTGGGAGAAAATGCAAGAAGGAGAGAGGGGGGACGGTCCTCATTAGTTTTTACCCTTAAGCATAGAATAATTTATCAGATCAACAATGCAACTTTGGGAGATGCACTATTTAGCCTAGAGGGGTTGAGATACAGGGATTGACATCGGGGTGGGGATTGACATAGGGGAATGAGAAGGATTTGAAGGTGGGTTGGGATCAGTAGTGGCCATCTAAGGATGGTGATGATGGTGGTGGGAGGGGTACATAGGACTTTGGCTTTGGTTGAGTTGGTTGGCTGGTAGTTTAAGCATTAGGAGGCTGTTCCAAGGTGCAAGGTTGGTGGTTGAACCTGCTTTATAAAGCTCTCCAAGAAATAAAACCAAAATAGAACTCTTCAAAGAGGCTAAATTAAACTCTACATTCCCTCTCACCTATTTAAAAGTTGCTGAAGGTAGCACAAAATTCTGACCTTGTTTATCACAAGATTTTATTTCTTCTAATCATATGTACTTTGATGGAGTATTTAGTCATACATTTAGTTCAGTAAGATGAACTCATGAATGTATAATGCCATTTAAAAAGCATAAAGCATTTTGTATATGATTTAGGATGTCTATAGAAGATGTTTGATTAGATTTTTAGCCTTGCCTTATCAAGTCCTTTTGTATCATTCTGATCTTTTGAAAACAAGATAGTAGGGAATTCATACTTTTGCACGTAATCTGTTAGTCTAAAATTCCCTACACTCCATTGTTCCTCTTTAGCATGACACATTAAATGGATACCAGATTAAAGAATTCTTCCCACTACTTGTTAGGGCCTCTCAAATATTTGTAGAATCTTGTTTTCATAGTTTTTTGTAATGTTTTGTCCTCAAAGCTTCAGGATTTGAAAAACTATGTTAGCATTAGTTGTTCTGGCTGACTGGTACATAGTCAAATGTTTCCAAAGAAAACCACTCTTTATGTGTGGCTATATTTATAAGACTTTATTTACTTGTTTTCTAAGCAGGCTTCTTAAATATTTACTCTAAAACAAGTAATTTTTGAAAGAATACTATATTTTGTCTATTTTTACCATTCTCTTGATTTTACCATCATTTTAAGGAAAACTGTTCTGATTGCTTGTATTGTTTTTTGTTCATATTTTAATATTAATATCAAGTGATATTTTCTTTCTTATTGAAACTTTTAATTCTGTACCTAAGTAGATTGAAGAATGAGGTATTTTTATGTCTTGCTTGAACAAACATATGAAATTTATCGTGTAAGCTTTTATTAATCCCATTTGCCATTGGGTAAGTCGAACCAAGAGTGACTTCTGATGGTATAAAGCCTGAAACCCAATGCTCTGAGACTAACCTGCCTGGATTTACATTCCAACCCTCCCACTTACTCATTAGCAGTGTATCCTTGGAAAAGTTATTTATCTCTACATGTAAACTGAACTTCATAACAATACTCACCTCATTGGGATGATTGAGTGGGATGGATGATCTATGGAAAGCCTGTGGGCTGGTGTCTGGTTCATAGCTAGCTGCTACTACTTCTCTTAACACTACGTAAAGCAAAAGAAAGAAATTACTGAACTTTACAGCATTTAAAATATTCTTCCTTGGTTCAGAAGCATTTTTGTAAATCTCATTTTGTCATGTGTTAAAAAACATGGGCAGATTCATGTGCTTAATGTATTTGAAAATGCAACATAATGTAAAAGTTTAGTCTTAAAATCTGAAAGACCTTGAAAATGTCCTTTCAGTACATAGCAGCTTTTATGATTTGAACTAGGAACAAACGCCTACAGAAGTCCTGCCTTAGGCACTGATAGGCATTGAGGTTTGCAAACATTGACTTTTATGGCAAGATGGAATGTGGGTGGATCCTTTTTTGGCAGCCCAAGTCCCTCTTGCCTCCATATTTCCCTCCTTCACTTTATGCCTAGCATGCCAAATGGAAGCAGGCTGGTGTCTTTTGTGCTTATCCTGGTTTTAGACTTTTTCAAGTTTACCCATTCCTTGGTTCTATAAGAAAAGCCATTCAGTCATTCCACATATAAACCCCAAGTTCTTACTGAGCATCAGGCAGTTGGCCAGGTGCTTGTGTTATAATGGGGAATAAAACTGTGTTAGTTAGCTTTTCATTGCTGTGATAAATACTTGAGAAAAACAACTTAAAGGGAGGAAGGATATATTTTGGCTCATGGTTTCAGTTGTTTCAGTCTGTGGTCCCTTTGCCCTGTGCCTTTGGACCTGAGGTAAAACTGAGCATCATAGCATCAGGAATGTGTAGCAATCAGGAATTGGAGGGAGACAGATAGGGGCCAGGACAAGATAGAGCACCCAAAGATATGTCCCCAGTGTTTTCAGGCCTCCAACTAGGCTCTACCTCCTGAAAGTTTCCATCTCTTCTAAAATAGCAACACCAACTTGGGACCAGGCTTTCAACACATGAACCTGTGTAGGGCATTTCATATTCAAACCATAACAAAAACAAACACCTGTGACTGGCTGAGGGTTCTGGGTTTAAAAAAAAATAAAGATCTTAGTAGGTAAGAGGGGCAGGCCCTAGAGATATTTGGGAACAAGAGCTCAAGGATGAGAAGGGTTAGGGAGTATGGAAGCCATAGAACAAATACCCAGAGGAGCAAGGAGCCCTATTTGCTGGGTAGCTAGGTAGAAGAAAACAGAGTGGGAGCTGATGGCCTTGTAGACCACCTGGGGCCTTTGGTTTGTATTTCAAATAAGATAGGAAGAAGTTGAGGGAGGAGGGTTTACAGCACAGGAAGAATAGAGCAGATACCAGTTTTAAAAATTCCCCTCTGGTGCAGTGTTAATTATAGACTCTAGAAGAAGCAGTATCTCTTAGGAAGTGAGGTCACTTGGGCCAAGCTCTCCATCATTGTGGTAGGGGAGGGAGTGAGCTTCAGTGAACTTTCGAAGGTAGAATCTGTAGGATTTCATGATGAATGTGCTCTCTGAGCAAATGACAGTAAGGAATGTTACAAGGATTTTGGCCTAAGAAACCTGTAACAATAGAGTTGCCATTAATTTAGATAGGGAAGACTTCTTGAGGAATAAAAAGGGGGTGAGATGGGCAAGATCTGAAACTCAGGTTTTGGCTATCTAAGTCAGAAACATCTTTTGAAGAGAAGCATTAAGACAAGGACGTGGTTGTCTTAATGAGGTCAGCATTTTTATGTGAACCCCTATGGCA